ACAACTCACCAAATTTATAAACAGAATGACCCAGCAAATCTACTCTCTGCTATCTATCCATGAGAACTAAAAAAATACGTACACATAAAAAAAAAAAACATGTACACAAATATTCAGAGCAGCATTATTCATAACAGCCAAGAACTGGAAACAATTCAAACGCCCATCAACTGGTGACTGAACAAACAAAATGCAGTATGTCCACACTATTCAGCAATAAAAAAGAAGAAACCAATATATGCTGCAACATCAGTGAACAACTTTAAAAACACTCTGCTAAGCGAAAGAAGCCAGACATAAAAAAATTTTAAAAATGCATGAATTCTTTTACAGTCAGTCCTCCATAACCATGGGTTCCAATGAAAACTACTTGAAAAAAATTAAAACAAATAACAATAAAATACAAATTTTAAAAACATAGCATAACAATTATTTACAAAGCATTTTTATTGAATTAGGTATTATAAATAATCAAGAGATTATTTAAAGTATAGAAGGATGTGTGTAGGTTATATGCAAATACTATAGGGTTTAACATAAGGAACTTGAGCATCCAAGGATTTTTGGTCTCTGTGGGGGTCCTGGAACCAATTCCCCATGGATATCAAGGGACGACTATATACGAAATGTTCAGAAACGGTAAATTTGTAGAGGCAGAAGGATTAATGGTTACCTGGGACCGGCAGTAAGAATAGGGAGTGACTGCAAACAGGCCAGGGTATCTTTCTAGGTCTTGTGCATGCTCTAAAATTGGAGTGTGGTGACAGTTGCCCAATTCTGTATATTTACTAAAAAACACTAAAATAGGTGACTTTAATCATATATAAAATAGCCAGGCTCAGTGGCTCAGCCTGTAATCCCACACCTTTGGGAGGCTGAGGTGAGTGGAGTGCCTGAGCCCGCAGGTTCGAGACCCGCCTGGGCAGCAGGATCTCATCTTTACAATAAATCAAAAAATTAGTCGGGCATGGTAGCGCATGCCTGTAATTCTGGTTACTCGGAAGGCTGAGGCAG